CTTAAACTCGAATTTAATAATATTAATTTAATTGAAATAATTTCCCATCGGATGATTCACAAATTCGATCATACTTAACTTTTAATTATTATTTAATTAGAATGCATCCACAATATACTATTTGTTTTTACATAATAACCTAACTATAGATTGTTAACCTTTTGCAGAAACTGTATTCTAAAACTTATATCTAGCTAGGTAATTTTCATTGGTTAAGAATGTAAGAATATTTACATTGACCGTGTATAAAAATCAAATTATATATTATACCTCCTTTTCATATTATAATAAATATATATTGTTGTAAGTTATTTTCTACAGACTAAAAAAATTTATAAATAGATAAAAAAAATAACTTTACAAAATTAATCTTATGTTAATCTTTTTTAATATAAATAATGTAACATAACAGTCACTTTCTAACTAATATTATATAAGAGTATAAATGAAAAATGAGATAATTAATACTACATTAAAAAGTTAACATAATACATATTCTAGAATTTACTTTTTCTTCTAATACAACATATATTTATCATGTTATAGAAGAAGTATTTAAGTTTTAAAAAAAATGATTTCATTTTCCTGGAACTACTTGTAGTAAAATTAGGTTTGTGGTTAATGAATGAGTTTCAAGAAGCTACATGAACATTATTCCCTGAAAACATGTCATGACATGAGGTTCCTTTTTCTTTCTTTTCCCCATAAAAACATGCCATATGCTACACATACTTTGTATTATTGTAGGACTGGAGCTCAACATTGGGTTAGAATCGGTACTCACTCATAGGGATGGCAACGTACGGATGGTCCTCGTTCTCGCAAGTTAAACTCATCCACGTCCCCGTACCTATCCTTATTCCTGTTCTCGTCAGATATCAGGTATACTTACACCCATACCTGTATTAGTATCTGTCAATTTTTTATTTTTTATTTTTAAAAAAAATAATATTTTAAAATTATTTTTTTATTTTTATAATTATAATTGGATTATTTCTCTATATCATATTATAATAAATAATCACACATAAAAAAATATTAAAATTTATTAATATAATTAAATTGAAAGTAGGTATTGAATTAAAAATAGAAACGGGAATGGGTACAGGTACGGGTACGGTACGAGTAAGTACATACCCGTATCCATATCCGATTTAATATATCGAGTTTTACCCATATCCAGTCAAATTGAGTATTTCCCGTTAAAGTTGGAATGAGTTGGAATATTACCTACATGTATGAGTATATTTCTCATTCCTACTCACTCACTGTCAAAGGGCCAATTCTCTCTGCTTCCATCCAAAGAATATAGACATTAACACCTTTCAAATAATGTATGAGGGAATCAGATATCAATAATAAGATTAAAAAAAAAATCTCAATGTAAAAATCAAGAGAGTTTATGCCCTTTGAATTCACGATAAAAATAAGTGTTTAATTAACGATCAAAGATGGTTAGTATAAAAAATTTGACACGTCATCCAATAAAAAAAAGTTATTGTTTATATAATTTTTAACAGTTATTAAAAAATTAATAAAGTTATCTTTTATAATAATAGATTGTGATTAATAATGATTATGTAAATTATTTTATGTTGTTAATACTGTATTATCATTAAACTTATCTAGTGACTAGTAGTGGCTACTAATCTATGTGTTCACCGATGTAGGACAGTAGGAGAGAAAAGATCATAAAAGAAATGCTAATAGTATGTTCATTAACTTATTTTTATTGATGAATAAAATTTAATATGATATATTAAAAATAAATTAATAAAATAATAAAAAAATACATATAATTTTTATTTAATACTAATAAATAGATGTTGAATGAGTTGAGTACTACTAATATGGAAGTCGAGAGTCAAGTCCTAATATAGAAATCGTAGTGCCCACTACTGACTTATGACATTTCAGATGTTCCCACTATTTATTGCCTGCCTTTACAATTTCTAGGAACTATCTCTGACGAGTATCCATTTTTTTTTGTTGAGAAAGTATTGATTTATTTTTTACACACTCATTTATTCTTCTGTTTATTTCTCACTTTTATCACATGTTAATTATATCTTTATAATTTATCTTTGAAAAAATTACACCTACCACTTCAAAATGTGTTTAAATAACACATACTTATCCTTTATGTTTTAAAAATTACATATTTCTCTTAAAATAACATCATTAAAGTGAGAGAGAAAAAAAATGTTAAAAAAATAAAATGAATTTATATTTTATTAATCATATATATATTTCTATCTTTCATTTCTTAATTATGTATAATATTCGTATAAATGGTTGGATTATTAAAATTTAATGTAGAACATGAGTTATTGAACGGAGTAAGTCTAGATAGACTTACTCTTGAAGTAAAATGATCTCTCCTTATATATATATATATATATAAGATGCGGAGAGTTCAAACGACACTGGTGTAACTTTTAATAAGTGTTACAACGCTCAATAACTTTATATTAAATGTAAATTTTGTAAATCCAACCGTTAGATTCAAAGTTCACATATCTTAGATCATATATACAAAATTTTATATTAATCCAAGATGATTTGATACTTCATTCTTATAAAACAAAATTAACGTAATATATTCATTTCAAAATATACTAAAATATGAACACTTTGATCACTTTCAAATTGTTGTTCAATTTTAACCAAATTTAATATACACTTATAAAGTGATATGAATTTTCAATCTAACGGTTGAATTTACAAAATTCACATTTAATTTAAAATTATTAAACAATATAACACTAAATAAAAGTTACACCGATATCGTTTGAACCCTCCTCATATAAAATATAATATACCTTCATTGGTAGCAATATAATGAATTACATAATTTAGCTTATTAAAATAGGTCTAGAGTTAGTTGTTAGTTTTAGGTTTAAACTTCAATATCACCATTGTATATTAAAAGTAAATGATTAACAATTTATATAAATTATTAGTATAAAATACTTAATACGGAAATCTGATAAGAATTTACTTTATCATTACATTACATTAACGAATAAAATAAAATGATAAGGTAATTAAAATTTATTAGAATTGATCCAGTGGTAAAAACTTAAGTACTACACATGAAATCTTTTATGATCCCGTTGTCGTTATTATACAAAATAAATTTTGGTAAAATGTTTTAATATCCGTGTAAAAATCTTTCACATTTGCAAATGACGTTAAACACATTATGTGATTAATTAAAAAGTAAAACTTTTCAAATTATATAAAATTATAAAAATAATTTATTTAATATTAATCAAGATATATATTTATTATATTTATCCATTTTATGTAAAGATGCAAAGGTTAAAATTTTATTTAAATTGAGATTAACCAGACTTAATTATTATTAAATAATACTATTTCTGTCACATTATTTTAGGTCCTTTTAATTTTTTTATCCTAAAATATTTGTCATTTTAGAATTCTAAAGTCTGATTAATAGTTTTTTTATTCAATTATACCCATGTTTAATAAGTACTTTCTTTGTCAATTATTTAGTATGTTTTTATGAAATCGAAATAAACGAGTTGAAATAAAAAAAGAAATGGTCTATATTTATAATTATTAAATATTTCTTAATATATACTCTATTTCTTCTCTATTATAAATAAAATAAATAAATACACACATTTTTATTCTTAAATATAAATAAATTATAACTACTTTTAACTCATTTAATTGATACCCTCTTTAAAATATTTTCTTTAATACATTTTTTAGTTGCATAGTTTCTTTTAACATTTATTAGAAGGATAATTTTAAAAACAATATTATAAAATTAGTGAAATTTAATATAGATAACTAATTTTTTAATATATGTAAAATCATATTTTCCGTACAATAAATCAGAGAGAATATACATTAACCTAAAATAACTAAAGATTTGAGAAAAGAGAATAGTATTTAAGAGATTAAAAATATATAAATAAAATACTTATTGCATGATGTTAAAATTATACAGTTCAATAAATTAGATTAACTCTTAAAATTTCTCAAAAAAATTACATGCGAATTCATATTTAAATAAAGTTAGGGTAATTAATAGTTATGAATTATTTCACAGAAATGATATGTATCACGCAATTCCTTGTGTCCATCTCTGGGTGTGATGGCTATAGCCAGTGTTCCCATCCCTCATTGTTAGGAAGAGGTGTATGAAATGCTAATCATGTCCCCATCAAACAATTTCGATCGTTATAATGTCTCTTTCTCTCTCATTTTCCCCGGAAAATTTTTCCCCTACAGCCACATGGGTTCATCCGATTCCGAACATATCGTTATGCTGTTCACTTCAATTCAATAATCTTTGGGAAAAAAAAAGTTTAATTAATGAAAAAAAAAATTAAAAAAAAAATGTTTGGAAAATTTGCAGACATTGTGGGCTCTCCCAAGAGGGTAGAGGAGCAGGTGGGTGGTGGGTAGCCTTAATGAGGAGAATCCCTCTAAAGTCATGGCAGATGATGAATATTATTGATGCACACTCATGTGTACCCACACACATGACACAACACTACACAACTTTTGAGACAAAGGATTACTAAACGAGTCCCAAATCCCAACCTCATAAAATCATAATAGCATAGCCCCAAATGAATGAATGCCAATAACCATGCTCACACCTAACCTACATGATGGTCACGCGCCAAGCATAATTCTTTCGAGGAATAATGTTGTCGATGGATACCATCCATCTACACACTCTACACCCATGATGCTTCTAATGCTACTATCATCTAGCACTACTACTAGTAGCCTACCAGTATCTATATCTACATCTATCTTAAAAATAGGGTTTCACGTGTGTTTGTCAACCTTGGTAACCTTTGTCGGTCAAACACCCTTTTCGTTCCACAATATTTTTAAATTACATTTTAAAACTTAAGAGAAAAGAAAAAGAGAGAATACCCACTAAATATAAATTTTTTTCTTTTTTTTTCTTTTTTAAAAGGTGACCATTTCATTTGGGTCATCATCCTATGATCACGTACTACTCTCTTTCTCTCTCTCTCCTCTCTATAATTATAAAGACTCTTCTCTTTCAAAGCTCCTCCTCCTTAATTCTCAGTCCAAGACACACCTTTCCCCACTTCTATTCCACATTATTCTCTCTCTTCATCTTCTTCTTCTTCTTCTCTCTCCTAGTCTATGCAGAAGAAGAGAAGGAGATCATGGAGCTTGGTTTGAGCTTAGGAGACTCTTCAAGGCCTTTGCTTGGGTTCATGGAAAAGCCTCGTGAAGCTTCCAACCAACTGGGGTTAGGCTTCAACACCACTTTATCAATTGGTCCAATCATCACTAGACAAAAAGATCATGAAGACCAAGAACTAGAAGAGGAAGAAGAAGAAGAAACAAAGCCAAAGAAACACAAGAACAACATCAACAATCTCACAACAGAAGACCCTAATGACCTTTCTTCCAAACCCAACAACAACAACCCAGTTCTTCATCAACTTGATCTTCTCCCTCAACTCTCTTTCCCATGGCACCCTCCGTCTGAAAACGGTGAAAAACTCTCTTTTCCATTTTTACTCGCTTAGAATCTCTTTCTTTTTTTCAATCTCTCAAGCTAATTTTTATAGCACCATGAACCATCCTCCAATCAGATGATTAACATAGTTGTTGAAAAAAAATCAAACTCCCCACATTTCATTGTGGAGATATGTGTCTTAACCCCTATGCATAGTTAGACACCTTATGTTAGATTTGTTGTCACAACGATCTATAAAATGAAAATTTCTTATTTAATTTTCACTATGAAAAAATTCGTAATCACAGTGTCAAAATTAGTCTCTAATTCACTAAACACCATACACTTCTAATAGAAGAAAAAAAATATACCATTTTTTTTTTATCAAAACAACGTATTCAAGTATTCAAGAGATTCGAATCATTCTATTATTTGAGTTTCTATGATATAACTTTTGCAAATATATATATAAGGCTCTCTTGTGGACACATGCAGGGAGTTTATCATCCGATTTGGGGGGCTCTTCGAGGGGGTTGGACGTGAACGCGCAGCCGGCGGCGGCGGAGGAGGAGGCGGAGGAAGCGGCGGCGCTGTCGTCATCTCCGAACAGCGCGGCCTCATCGTTTCAAATGGATCTCTGCATATACAGCAACAGAGGAGGAAGCTTCTACAAGAGAGACTCCGAGGGCGAGGCTTATGATCAAAGAGCCTCTTCGAGAGCCAGTGATGAAGACGACACCAACGGTGGACCCGCCAACACCAGAAAAAAACTCAGACTCTCTAAGGAACAATCTGCGTTCCTCGAAGAAAGCTTCAAAGAACACAACACTCTTAATCCCGTGAGTGCCCCCTAATCAAAATTACATCAACCATATATCTATACTATATCATTCTTAACGTGGCTGAATTTTCTAATTCAAAAATAAAATGGTAAAATTTGACCACATATCGCATAAAATTTGGTCAAGACTATGATATATCATAGTCTCAGACGGTACGGACAATAATTTTTTCTAGCTTTATCTTTGATTTTGGTGTTTTGTAATAATAATAATAATAATATATAGTATGGTGTGGGACACGTAATTTTGTGATGCAGAAACAAAAGCTTGCTCTTGCTAAACAACTCAATCTTCGACCTCGTCAAGTTGAAGTCTGGTTCCAAAATCGTCGAGCAAGGTACAACAACATCGTACATACATAATACGTAGTTCTTGTCCACTGCTTTTATAAATTTTCAGGCTTTTAATACCAATTTTTTTTTCTTACACGAATAATATGTAAAAGGGTATGGTTTTTTTGAGCCACACATGAAGTGTCGTACACTTGTGTTATTTGGTTGTGACTGACTTGTGAGATTTGTCTATGTGCATGCAGGACAAAGTTGAAGCAAACGGAAGTGGATTGTGAGTACTTGAAGAGGTGTTGTGAGACACTAACGGAAGAGAATAGGAGGCTTCACAAGGAGCTTCAAGAATTGAGGGCTTTGAAGACTTCAAACCCGTTCTACATGCAATTACCAGCCACAACTTTGACCATGTGTCCTTCTTGTGAACGCGTGGCCACAAATTCCACCACCACTTCCTCATCCCTCGGTGCCACCATCAATGCAAATTCAGGAACCATGGCTAGTGTCAAAACGAGTAATAATAATAATACTATTACTAATGACTCCAACTCCAATTCCAATTCCAAGGCCATTGGATTCCCCTTTGGAAAACCAAGGTTTCATCCATTTGTTCATGCTAGCCAACAATCCCATCAACATCAATCCCCAGCGTCTTGAGGATATGCAGTTCAAGATTAGTACTATTGAGTTGAGGGTTGGAAATTGATTCGATTTTGTATATAGGGAAGTTAATTATGAGAGGATGATAGTTTTTTTTTTTTTTTTTTTGTTGGTGGGAGAGGGTCATATAGAATTTGGATAATTGGGTTTTCTTTTTCTTGTTTGAATCTGTGTATTCCATCTTTCTTGGGTTTTATCAATGGTGAAATCAGAAAGATGGGAGAGCATTTTAGACAGTGAATTGAAGATAGATATCAAAAAGAAAGGGAAATTAATGATACTTGTTTTTGTACTAGAAAATCTCTAACCCTTTTTTATATACATTATTTAAATACTACTACCGGAGTAATCACAATTAGAAAAATACTTGTATTCACAAATAAATATGATGACAGGATAAAATTAAAAATTATTCCTAATTATACTTATCTATTGTAGTTAAAATTAAAATATTATTATTATAGAACTACAAATAAATTATATGCAAATTAATGTAAAATAAGTACATTTATTTATAAATTTTAATTTTTATCCATCTTCAACAAGTCAATTTTCTTGTAAAATTTATAGTTGATTTTATTAGGGAATGTTTTCAATATTATAATATTCTTAAATGCTTTAATTTAATGATTTTGATTATTTAATCAATTCTCCTATAAAAACAGTTGAAAATATTAACAAAAGAATTATTCAATTCGGAGTAAGACTATTTTTGAAACTTTATTTTCACATATATATATATATATATACTATATATACTGTACAAGTAGTACAGCACACGTACAACAAAATTGAAAAATGTTAGGGTACACTGATTAATTCTAAGTTTCAAATGTTGGTGCACAATTAAATAGGTGATTAAATAGAGTTAGGTAGGCATGGGCAAATGGTCATAATAAGGTGAGGGCGTAGTTCAAGGCTGCTTTGGAGAAAGACCCAAGAGACTTTCAAATCCGTGGATTGGTCTACTTTTTAATGATTTCATTTCTTGAAGACTTCAAACCTCAGCAGTCACTCATGATGAAGGAGTTCAGACCAGAGAGAGAGAGAGAGAGAGTCAAAAAAAAATGGGTGTGGTGGTGGTTCATTTATTTATGGGTATGTGAGACTTTATATGGGAAACTAATAGGGTACCTTTGTGGGACTTTGGAGGGCAACAAATGGGACTGAGACCCAAAAGGGACAGGACAGGAATAGATC